TTTTTTTTTTTCTACTGATTGGTTTCCGAGAAAACAGAGGAAACGAAAAGAAAATCAATTCCTTATATCGTAATGCTTTCTATTCGAATGAGACACAGTTGCGTATAGTTATAGAGTTTAATTTTGTTTGATTTCGTGTCTCTATTATTGGCTAGATTTGAATTCTATTTCTTACTTATTCTTGATATTTATATAAAAATTGAACAGAATGTGAAGACTGAGTGATCACTTTGAAATTTAAATCAAATTATGTTTGCTGCGATATTAATTTATTGAATGGGATATAATTTGAGCAATATGTGCAGGACGCACATAGATATAAAGGGACAGTGGAGGATTGTTGTTGTGATTACGAGACTGTAGACCATCTTAATCAGGAAGTTTTGCGTCCATTGCTCGAAGAGCTCGTGAAAACCCCATTTTTCCGATACTTCAAGGTATGCTGCCACTGCCCATTTGCTTTATAATGTTATTTGCGAGAAAAATGTGTTTTTTGTGTGCATTTGTACTAATAAGTAGCTAAGATACATTTATCAAAAAAAAAAAAGTAGCTAAGATACACTTGAGATAAGTTGCAGCAGACAGTGTTCCATGTAATTAAATGGTTTAAGTAGGCATAGATAGCGATCTAGAGCTTGAGAGTTCTTAAGCTGCAATAGGTAACATGGGATTGGAAGAAAACTAATTCAAGAATTTTACTAATTTTGGTCCACTTTGGAATGTAAGACCAAAATATAATGTACCAAATGCAGCATCAACGTCAAGTAACAAAATCTAAATTTTGGGCGATAAACTTCAAGGGTTAACTATAGTTGATAACTGAAAATGGATAGACATTTTTCTATTCTTATGCATGCTTGCAAATCCATTTTACACACAAGGAAATGCAGAGAGCTCAACTGGATTATATGCTACCAAGATTTTAGAACTAAATTTAGCTTGTTAGATGTATTTTATATTGAGTAACAATCAGTGGAAAATAGTGATTCTGTAAATAGAAAGCATGAGGGGTTTTGGAAGAGAGTAGAGGCAGCAAAACTTGACTCCAGCAAACAAATATTGGTGGTCTAGACGTAATTACTGTCCAGTCTTATCTAGGACTTGGTCGCCTGAGGAATCACAAGCCATTAAGTCTTTTAGCAAGGCTTCAGCTACCATTTTTCATAGGTTTTGTCCTTTGCTATTAAACCCGTCATTATGAGTCTTTAATGCATATGACCCAGCCATATCAGGCTACATCTCATTTACTTTCCCTCGTTTGATGCTTATCTGCTCATAATTGCTTCTTTTTTTTTTCATTCTTCATTTTTCTTTTATTTTCGTAGTTCATGTTACTGTCCTCATTTACATGTTTTTAGTAACTTCCCTTTATCTTTCCGACCTTTTAATGAATCTAGTAACCACCCAATATGATAAAGTGAAACTAGCCTTGGGGACACCTTGTAAGAAGTTAAACTTTTACTAGTTACGTATTTACAACCACTCAACGCTCTTTATGAACTATAGTCCTAATCCTGTGGCTATTATCTTCTTCCATTTTTTTTTTTCTCTTGGAGTACCTCCAAGTTGATAAAAATGGCAATTTTTTTTTATTTTAATGTGCAATTTGGAATTAAATCTTCTATACTTCTAGAATGGACATGCAGATGTAAGACCCCTGGATTGAGAGAATTTCTTGAAATTCAAACTCAAAAGCGTCTTATAGATTTGTTCTATCTGCCACATATACTATCATTAACGATCCATTTCCACTAGGAGACTGTTGGAGATTTATGACATGAGACAAGTTCAGTTGACTAATGTTAATAAATTATTGACTATTTTAGGTGAACTATTTTTTTGTATATTTTTCTGGTAAGTCCTTCAAACTCCAAGCATGGAGATGGTTGTGGGTAAACTATAAAATTGGTGAGTTATACAGGAGATGCATATTTCATTTGAGCCAGAATTTTGTGGTAATTTTCCTAAGTCTAATGATCCGGTAGTTTCTTATTCAATCCCCCCCCCCTTCCTCCACACTTTCTCTTCTTTCCTGTTGTCCTTATTCGATATTTTGTTAAATAGTGAACCCGAATCTAACAAACAAGCCTTATTTTACTAGTAAATTTGCTTTCAGCTATGCTGACCTTTGTCTGTTCTTTCTGGCACCTGGTTGGTTTGTCCCTGTGGTAGGTTAAGCTATGGTGTGATTGCCTTTTCTGGCCTGAGGATGGTATGTGTCGTTTGAGGGACTGCAGTGTCTGTGAATGCCCAGAAAAAGAGTTTCCTGAACCATTTAAGAAGCCCTTCAGGAATGGCCTTTCATCGGATGATCTTATTTGTCAAGAGGGAAAGCCGGAGGCTTCTGTTGACCGTACTATTGATAGTAAAGCTTTCAGAGGGTGGATAGTAGTAGACAACCCATGGACATATGATGACGAGACAGACAATGGTGCGTCTTATTACTTTAGCTGCACTCTAGACTTTGTAATTGTTAGTTATATGATTATTTCTTTATCTCTTAGCCAATGCTTTTGAAGTCACTTTGTCTATTATCCTTGAAATTGATGATCATTCCCTAATGGTCAAGACTAAGTCAAATGCTAACTATGCCCTGGGAGTGGGATCTGTCAAAGAATTCCTCTACCCATTGATTCTTTATCTTTTACTGCTATATAATGCGGTTTTGGAGGTCACATTCATTGAGAGTTCAATAAGACAGAGAGTCTAGGTCAACGATATTCCTTGCGTATCGTCTCTTTTCTTTTGACAAATATAGTATTATGGTGACATTGTGCTTCAATTCTATGGTTGTTCAGCAGTTAATGGTTATTATTACTTGCAGCTGAGATGACATATGTAAATCTTCAACTGAATCCTGAACGCTATACTGGCTATACTGGTCCATCTGCCAGAAGAATATGGGATGCTGTTTACACAGAGAACTGTCCCAAATGTGAGTTGTTTTACTTTCCGTTGTTGAGGGAAATTGCTCTTTTTCCTTTACTTCCAAAAGCGTTATGTCTTTATATATTTTTTTTGTTCAATTACATTACACTATATTCATCATTAAATCCATGCCAACATTCCTAATCTCTTTTAGCAGCATAAACTGCTACATTGTGAAATAGGAGATGGGTTTTAACTTTTAACATCTTTGCTTAAAGTGTATTTGGGGTTTCTTTTAGTTCCAAATCCATTTGTTTTGCATCCTTTACCCTTGTCTTACGTGGGAATAGTCCGAGTGCTGATGGTGGACATGACATCTTTGTGCCTGATAAAGCTTAGAGCTAGGGTAATCAATGAACAAGTACATTAAGTATAAATTTCATGATGCCCACTTCTGATGCTGCATTTTGTTGTTAGACATGGATGTCATGTTTTAGGCTTTTAAGATTTCGTTCTAGAATAAATTGATAAACCTTTAGCAATAAGTACAGACATAAGCATCAAAACATTCTATTGTGCATGTCCAAATGACCTAATTTCTTTCCTCAAAATAACATAAAAAACTATCTGATGGTGTTCTCTATCTTTGTACTCACTCCCCCCCCCCCTTTCCTCCGCTTTTATCCGTGTATTTTCAAAAAGAGGTGGAAAGATGACAATGCCATGCATACGAATTATTGGAGATAGCAAGCTTGAAACAGATTTTAGATCAATCGGTTGGGCTGTGCTGTCTCGTTCTTGAATCATTGTGTATCACAAGATGACGAGGAAATGAAGGTTTTCTTACAAGCATGATCTTAAGAAAAAAAATGCTCCATTTGGATATCCTGTGCCAAGGGGATGTGAAATAACCTCTCCTTCCCTCAACTCCACCCTCGTGGTGAGTTTGCTATCTCCTTCTCAAAGTTGATATATCAAACAGATAAAATACATATGTGGGCCTCTAATTGCGTCTCCAATCAGTGGACAGGACATTTTTATCCCACCTGGCTCTTAGATCTGCTTATTTAATGCTGCTTCTAGGGTGTAGGAATATTGTCATCTTAGCCTCAACTTTCACCCCAGTTACTGTAGACTGTAGAGTTGTTAATATTGACCGAGTTTTGTTAGTTAAACTAAAAGTAGTGATTGTTCAAAGTTTTTGGGGAAATGAAATCAAGTGAGGACCGTAGTCCTACCTCAGTGGTCAAAAACCCCACTTAAATTGTGGTGGTCACTGGTTTGAATCCCCCTCCCCCGTATTAACACTGTCCCAAAAAAACAACTGAGTTTTGAGGAGTTTGGTAACGGCAAATGCTACCTGATTTACCATCCTATAATTTCGTTAGGGCTTCAGATTGGAATAAAGGAAAGACCTATCTTGCAATAATTTCCAGCAGGATAGTTTGGCCATCTAAAACCTCTGACAAGGGTAAACTACTATGAATATAGATCATCAGGTAGTGATACTTTTCAGTTGTTGATTTAGGTATACTTAAATCTTTTCTTAGTGTTTTGATAAACTATTCTTGCACTCTAAAAGTTGTTTAAGAGACCATTTAGTTCCCAGTTTCTTAAAAAGATATTCTCCATATGTTGTAATTTCAGATTTTCTTTGTAAACTAGGAAAACCCTGATGAACTATCCACCCTTGTTGTGGCAATTCCTTTGTTAATCGTTGACATGTTCTGCAGATGGATCAGAAGAGCTTTGTCAAGAGGAAAGAATATTGTACAAATTGATATCAGGTCTTCACTCCTCCATTTCAATTCACATAGCCGCTGATTATCTACTTGATGAAGCTACAAACCTGGTACTATTTCTAGTCATAACCTTGAACACTTGCACTATTAGTGAAGGGGAATAAGCTTAAGCTAGTTGTTCTTTGATTTGACTTCCGTGGACCTCAACTTTTTTAAAGCTTGGTAACCTCTAGTTTGATCAATGATCAAGAAAACTAGTTATACGACGAGGTAACAACCATTCAACTGGAACCAGAAGTTGAGGATCATTAAACGTGCCAATTCAAACGTAGCTCCCCCCCCCCCCCAAAAAAAAAAAAAAAAAAAGAAAACCCTTTCTTCTTGATGATAGTATCTGGGTGGACTATTGGATACGGAACATAGAATTAGCAGGTGAAGGAGAGAAACTTGGGATTGAGTCTCATCTAGTCTCTAACATTAGTAGCTTACTGGTTTCTAGAAAATTAACCTTCCTTGCACCACATATATTGTACTGACCATTATGGACTCTGGCACTTGAACTGACATCTAGTTCTTGAGCATGTTTGACTCTCTAAGCCATCATTTCTAGAACTTAGAATAATCACTTGGTTGAGGATTGTCAACGTCGTTCCTGTGACACACTTGCACACTTATTTAAAAGTTTGCATTGACAGTAGGTGGTCATAATCAGGGAAGTGGCCTAAAATGAATCTGAATAACTACTGCACATTTATCTAAANTGACTCTCTAAGCCATCATTTCTAGAACTTAGAATAATCACTTGGTTGAGGATTGTCAACGTCGTTCCTGTGACACACTTGCACACTTATTTAAAAGTTTGCATTGACAGTAGGTCGTCATAATCAGGGAAGTGGCCTAAAATGAATCTGAATAACTACTGCACATTTATCTAAAAGGTTTCTTTCTCTGAATTGCTTTTTTAAATTTCAGTGGGGTCAAAATCTGACGATGATGTATGACCGGGTCTTAAGACACCCAGAGCGTGTCAGAAACTTGTACTTCACTTTCCTCTTTGTTCTACGGGCTGTAACAAAAGTGAGTAGGGACTCAAATTTGTACTTTACCTTGTCTTGCTAAATGTGCACCTTGATAGCTGATCCTTGTGGTGTCCTTTAGGTAGCAGATTACTTGGAGCAGGCTGAGTATGACACTGGTAACCCTGAGGAGGACCTGAAAACAAAATCCTTGATGGGGCAGCTTTTAAATAATCCTNCTTTGTTCTACGGGCTGTAACAAAAGTGAGTAGGGACTCAAATTTGTACTTTACCTTGTCTTGCTAAATGTGCACCTTGATAGCTGATCCTTGTGGTGTCCTTTAGGTGGCAGATTACTTGGAGCAGGCTGAGTATGACACTGGTAACCCTGAGGAGGACCTGAAAACAAAATCCTTGATGGGGCAGCTTTTACATAATCCCAAATCACAATATGCTTGCCCACTCCCATTTGATGAAGCTAAGTTATGGAAAGGCCAAGGTGGACCTGAATTGATGCAGCAAATACAAAGACAGTTCAGAAACTTCAGGTTTTGCTCTATGTTCTTTTACTAAATCTCTTTTATGTGAAATATGTATACATACCTAGCAAATGAAGAAAACACGGGCCTTTTCTTTTTAATGAACCCCCCCTCCGGGTGGGCCCCGGGGGGGGGGGTGGAGTACCAGGTGTGAAGTTTTAATTTATCGCCCAAGGCCTAAAACAACAAATTTTCTCTATTGGATCCCTGTTAAAACATGTAGTGATGTGATATCATCGATGGTAATGCGAGACAAAATTACTGTACAATAGAAAATATGACGCTTGACAGAGTACAATGAAGGAACATGATTCATGTAGTGAATACCAAAGAGATTAAAACATGACCCATGGTACAAGGGTGATGGTATTTTACCCTTTCATTTTTAAAAGAAAGTCTATTTAGTCTTCCAAGACACTTCCTGCGCACACCCTCGATTTGGTGTTGTTACTTGTCCTAAGAGGCTAAATGAAGAGCATGGGATCGCAAAAGGCTCAAATTTGTCTTGTAGAAGAGACTTTGGTTTCATGNGAGGCAACCACCCTTGAAGAAATCCCATCTCCCTGAAGCCTCATTCTTGATTGTCTAAAATAAAAGAGAGAATTGGGTCAGTGGTGGTTTTACATGATTGTCTTCAGGTTATCACGTGCATCTCACGTGATAGCTTGGGTTAACAGCAAGTTCGATGTCCTTCAGTCTTTAACATCGAGGGTGTAATTTGGAACAATCAATCTTTTGTGGTACAAATTAAAAAAATTTCAATCTTTCAGGAGGCAAAGTGTCATTTCCCTTATCTCTCTGATATCATTGCAAAGGTGAGAGGAGAGCCTAGGGACCTGGTGGACCCCATGTTGGTCTTGTTGCACTCCTAACATCCATGTGGAGGTTTGAATAAGTCCATTTCACCATCCAAGGTTACGGTCAAGGTGCAAAATGTCTAAGATACACTTCAAGTCAAGTTTGACCTACATTTTGGCAGAAATTGACCAAAATAAATTGATAATTATTTTAAATAGTTAAAATGAGTATGTGTGAATTTTCATAAAAAAAAAAATAGCTTTGTTTTACTATTGTTTGTTTGGACTCATACGCATATATTGAGATAGAGTTTCTCAATTCTAGAACGGACAAGACTTTTACAAATGATTTATGGCCATTAATGGGTCTATGAGCCAAGGGATAGACGCTGGTCACCATTTTCTTGTCATAAGAATTGGCCGTTTATATTATACCAATTAAATCCATTCTAAATATTAGAAAACATCAAAAGAAAAAAAAATAAAAAGGTTAGTGGGTCTGTCTCATTGAATCATTGATTGTATCCGCTATTCTGATATTAAAAGATGAGATTATAACAATTAACATCCTCGATCATAATTTTTAGAACTTGATTATCGGAAACAGAACAAGGAAAAATCATAAAGAAAATTTCATACAAGAAAATGGTTGTCTGAGGAGCAAGTAAAACTCTAAATTTTGATAAATATTTTTCATATTTCCTAAGGTTTAGTTACCTTTGTTTCTTCAGAGACATATTTTAAACTCGNGCCCTTTAGTTGGAATTGCAACGAAATGAAGTGATTGCTATGATGAACCTGCTCAATCGGCTCTCAGAATCTGTTAACTATGTCCATGAGATGGGGCCCTCTGTCGAAAGAATCATTGGAGGAGAAATTTCCATGCCTAGCGATCGAAGAACTGTTCAATAGCCAAGGATTTGGACAGTTGTAGCTAGACATTGGTGACACACTGGTATTTTTCAAGCATCAATTTACTCTTTCGGGATACATGGTAAGCAGGAAAATTATCTTTGTTGAGCTCTACTTGCAGGTATGGGTACCCTGTGTCCAACTACCAAGATTTTGCTTCGACATTAACATTACGTCCAAGAATATAGAGGTAGGAAACTGCAGACAAGTCCTCCAGAACTACACACTCAGATTAAGTTCCTTTGGAACCCCAGCTGGATGCCATCGTCTTATATTACCTTCAAAAGCACAAAGGCAACTGAGAATCCTCAAAAAGAAGAAGTTAGGCGAGTACACATGGAAAGTACGCAAGGTATATCTTTATGAAGAAATTTGATAAAGGAGGCATTATAAATGTAGGTTTTTGGAATTAGAGCTTTTGCATTTTCCAAAACATGTTAAGAGTAGTAACCAAGTTTTATGAGGTGGTTGCTTTGCTTATGGTATATGATATTTTCTTCAGCTGAATCTCTTTCTTCATCCAAACTGCAATACTAAAGGGGGAAGAGATGATGTTTTGTTACTAGTAACTAAGTTATCTTAAATATATGTTATGTCAAGGTGAAGCGTCATCCCCCTCCTCTCAAGAGGGAGATGGTTGACATCAGATCTTAGAATTAGGGGTGTTTAAATTTTCGATTACCCAAATATTAAGATCTTACCGTACTCTACTGATTGACTATCACAAAAAATCGAGTAAGCCAACAGAAGAAATTTTGTATTTTGCAAAAATAAGATAAGAATTCAGAATACTCATAAAAATATTATTTTTCTATGTGATCCTACCCGCACGTGTGTGTGTATGTGTTAAATTGTTAACATTTTTACACTGTCAATGTGTGCAGAAATCACAAATTATAAATACTGTTAATGTGTTAAGTTTTTAACATTTTTAAATTTATTGTGTTGGTTAATTAGTGTGTTATTTAATTGAATTGCTAAATTATTTAAAAATTAATAACTAAAAAATATTGTATTCACCTAATTTTCTATCTGACTTCTTGCTTGATTATTTTGAATGGAATTTGAGTAGAAATAATTCACTTGATCGGATAGGATAAGTTAAGAAAAATTTCTTCAACAAAATGTCAGGTAGAAAGATAAAATGCTATAATTCTTACCTGTTGGATTGGAGAAACACCACTACCTAGAATGAACTCCTAGTTTTATTTTTGGTGGTTCGAATTTGGAAATTAGCCTCTCTTAAAATGGGGTAAAATTGTGTATTATTTATTTCTTGGGCAAATGGTACTTTGTCCCTTGAAAGATTGAAAACTTTTTAATTTGTAACACCAAAAATTGATTGTTTCAAATTGTATCCTCAATGTTAATATTTGGTGACAATGTGGCCCTCAGACTAACGGACGTCGAACTAGCTGTTAACACAATTTATCACATGAGATGCACATGATAAACTGAAGGGCAATCATGTAAAACATCACATACCTAATTTCTCATTTTATTCTGGGTAATGTATGATGTTATATTATTTTTAATTTATATTTTATTCATTTTATTTTTTTTGTTAATAAAAATTATTTAATTTTAAAACAACCCATATAATACTATATAAATATTTTTAATAATTATAAAATATCTAATTTTATTTATATCATATTATTCATGTCTAAATTAAATTTAACTAATTTATTATTCATATCATTTAGCCAATCATTCTTTTACTATTTTAACAAATATAAAGATTTCAAAATCAAATCAAACATCATCTAGGTATGAAGATTTAGTCGGTAATTTTGCTACTAAAAATGAAAAAAAATATTAAAAAAAACCAAAAAATTATAGTCAAAAGTGTGAGCTTCAGATCTATATTTGATCAGACAAAGAGAATGGATAACTCACGCCATGGCTGCAAAAATCAGTTGCATGTGAGATAAACACCCACAAACCATCAGGTTTGCCCCGCCAAGATACGGGTCAAATTATCTCAATGCCTTGATTCATTTGCTCATAAATATATCATATCATTCCAACCTCTCAAATATACGTGTCGGATCACCAGAGCTACAACCACCACCATCACCATCACCATCACCATCACCAACAACATCAATACCAAGAGCAACAACAATGGCACCANTGGGGGTGGGGCGATAGGATGGCAGTAGTGGTGGTGGGGCGATGGGGGTGGTGGTAGTGGTAGTGGTAGTGGTAGTGGTGATGGGGGTGGTGGTAGTGGCGAGGGTGATGACAATAGTGGGGGTGGGATAGTGGCGGCGATGACGGTGACAGTGGTAATGATGATGGTGTTGGGGGGGTAGTTGTGGTGGTGATGATGGTGGGAGGTAGTGGTGGTGGTGGTGGGACAGTTTCAAACACTATTTTTTTTTATACTTATGAGAAGTTATAAGTCCTATAAACACTTTAAAAGTTATCCCAAAGACACCCTTAGGGACCTATTTTCTCCATTAAATTTGGGGTATCAATATTAAAAATTAGATTAACTTTAAAGTAAAATTTTAAAAAAATCTCAATTGTGAAAAACAAAAGTCATTTTATTTATCTTTTGAGATTCGAATTGTATTCTACTTTATTATATAGATATACTAGTTATTACATTTATCTGAAGACATATAGTAATTAAAAAAATACTCAATAATAAATATATTTGTATTCACACCCAAAATTCAAATCACATATATAGAGAAAAGAAAAAGGAATTTAAGTATAAGTATAAGTTGTAGTGGGGATGAACAGTGGTAGTCATGGTAGGCGATAGTGGTGGTGGTAGAAGATAGTGATAGTTGTGGTGGATGACGACGACCGTGGTGATAGTGACAGTTATGGGTGGCAATAGTGATGGTGGTGGTGAATTTTGGGTGACGATAGAGGTAGTGGTAACCATAGGTGATGACGATGGTGGTGGGCGACGACAGGTGCTTTTGGGCAACCGTGTGGTAGGTGGTGGCAAACGGTAGTGGTGGTGTCGGTGATAGATGTGGTAGGGGTTGGTAACATTGGCTAATGGCGATGGTGGGTGACAACGGGTGGTGGTGGGTGGCGATGGGTGGTGGGTGCTGACGGTGGGCGACGGTGGTAGTGATAATAAATATAAGAATGAGATAACGATGGTGATAGATAGTGACGGTGGACGATGGTAGCAACAATTGATGGTGAGGCAATGATGACGATGTGGTGGTAGTGGGGTGGCGGTGGCGGTGGTGGGGTAACGATGATGGTGATGGAGGAGGTGGTGGGACAGTGACAGTGGCGGTAGAAAAACGACAGTAGTAACGGTGGTGGTGTTAGGGTGGCGATGGTGGGGTTGAAGTGGTTATAGTGAAAATGGTGGTGGTGGGGCAGTGAGGGTAGTTGTGGTGGTGATGAAAGTGGGGGTAGTTGTGGTGGTGGTGGTGATGGTAGTGGTGGGGCGGTGGTGGT